CCTTTAGTTCAAGTGACATATTAAAGATACTATCTGAAAGCAAAAAACTCTCCAGTTCAATAAAATAACTCCTTTATATGAACTGTCCATGTTTTCATGTACTCCCTGAAGTTTTGTGCTTTAGACCAGAAGCACCTGTTTGATTAATTTAGGAACTGCTAAGGATAGAATGATCACTGCAAATCCACTATGGTGAATAAGCATATTCACACATAGAAATATCTGTGAAAAAAAAATAATCTTTTTTTTATTGAATCCTGAGTATAAATTTAAGAACTTGAGACCTCAGACACTGCTTATTAGCCTACGTAGGCTGGTGAATATATGCTGAGAATGTATTTTGTGTGAAGCTGGAGTATATAATTAGCAAAAGGCACATTTAATATTAACTCACTTCTCTAGTAAACTTGTCACCCATCTGGAATGACAAACAGTAAAGAAAACTGGACCCAGAGAAATTATATAGCTTTCATACATGGGGTTTGGAAAACCACCAAAGCATTGATGTCTGAGAAAACGGCACACTGTCTTCCCTTCTTCAGCCTCAGCACAGGTTTACAACACCACCAAAGGGTGATATGATTAATTATGACTAAGTTTCCTCTTCATTACAGATACATATTCCTAAAAAAAAACTCCAAGGTCAAGAACATTTTATTTTGTGTAGGCACCTGCACAACCAAAAATACTTCTGTTCCTTCAAGGTACCCATATTTTAGCCATAAAAAATGAATACTATAATCGTCTTTGGCATGACTGCTACTGTATAACATAGTATTTTTGTGTGAAATTGTCTGCCAGAGTGAATTCTACAGTAATTAGCATTCGTTTGCTTGCATGGATTTCTGGCTTTTCCCTTGAAGCTGTTTGTCATGGTTTAGGCCAAGCCAGCAACTCAGAACCAGCCGCTCACTCACTCCCCTCCCTTTCTTCTCCCCCCCATCCCAGAGGGATGGGGAAGAGAATTGAAGGAATATAAATCCCAGGGGTTGAGGTAAGAACAGTCCAGTAACTAAGGTACAATACAAAACCACTACTGCTGCCACCAATAATAATAACGATAAGGGAAATAACAAGGGGAGAGAATATAAAACTAAAAGGAGAAAGTAACAGAAGGAAAACAATAAACACAAGTGATGCACAATACAACTGCTCACCACCCGCGGACCGATACCCATCCTGACCTGAGAAGCGATCTGAGCCGTCCGGGTAACTACCCCCAGTTTATATATTGGTATGACATGCTGTGGTATGGAATGGCCCTTTGGCTAGTTTGAGTCAGGTGCCCTGTCTCTGCTTCCTCCCAGCTTCCTATGCCCCTCCTCCCTGGCAGAGCCTGAGACTGAAAAGTCCTTGATCAGAGTAAACATTACTTAGCAACAACTAAAACCAGCGGTGTGTTATCAGCATTGTTCTCAGACTGAAGTCAAGAGCACAGCACTGCACCAGCTACTAGAAGGGGAAAAATAATTCTTACAGCCCAACCCAGGACACTGTTTTACTGAAAACTGTTTAGTACATTATAATTAATGCACTCACACTTTCCCAGGAGTGGCTGCTAATTTGAAACAATAGCTGAATTTTAGTTACAAGAATATTTGGAGACTCTGCTGTACATGTCTGAGCTGGGGAAAGTCAACCTTGTTATGATGTCCCTCCTCATACTCGGTACTTTAGGATTTCCCACTTCATCACTCTTTCAAAATCCAGCCACTTTATTGCAATGGGATTAAGAAAGGAGCTCTGGACCTGAAAATGATGCTCAGGGATTCTTAGGTCTCCTGTCTGTGGGAAGTGGCAGCACAAGTAGCGTCTGTGCTTCCAGGACCACATCTGGTATTCACGCTGACAATACAGCAAAAGCATCCAGGGCATAATGTATTTTTGTTTTACGTTTAAAAAAAATGTTTTAAATATATGTTTAAATACAATACAGACTGCTTCATATGGAAATGATCATGTGCTCCTGAGATACAGGTATACTAGAAGAGAAATTTTATATCACACTCCATTCTTTCAATTTAGCAAATCCAAAGACGGCTAAATACTTGAATTTGTTTATAACAACTAACAATGAATTGAAAACCTAGCAACTGGCATTTTACATGGTTTTTATATAACATACCTAGGAGTTATTATTAGAACGTGATGAACCAGCATTGTCTTACATGATATCAAGCTTGAAGACGGTTCAGTTATATGTATATGTTTATTAGCTAACTGGGCAGAACTGATGTCAATATAGGTATTTTACAGTGGTAACTACAGCAACATATTTTTCCTATTATGTAGAGAACATCTTCCCTGCTTAATCATAGCCCTTCTACATCTTCTAGACTTTCAGCAATATTTGGTTAACAGTTTAGATCAAAAACAGTAGAACAAACTCCTTAATGTGCAGCTACAAAACCACAGTGGCCTTTGGTTTTGTTTTGTTTTGTTTTTTAATTAGTGCTTACAATAGTGAAGAATGCAGTAAGAAACTTACAGCCCACTGAAATTTTCAAGATTTCAAAAATGTTCCTGTTCTGGAAGACATACACACCACACCTCCCCCCCCCCCCCAGTGAAACTGTTCAATGAAAAAGACAGACCACAAGCCTCCACCAGGCTCTCTTTGACCAGACTAAGGACCTGGCTCATGTGCTTGATGGCAGCAAGGCTCAGCATTTACAGAGCTATCCTTCCTGTATTCCCTTCTGCTTCTGACAACCAGAAGCCTAGGAGCTGATAGTAAAGCAAGCCAAATTTGTCTCTCTCCCATCTCAGATAATTCTCCATACCAACAAGTTTTTTATAATCTTTACAAGTTCCTCCTTGTGTATGGCTTTGACTAAAAACTGCAAGGTGACATGGCAAATGTTCCAAATGAATGTTTCCTAAAGCTGGATAGAGTTTCAGTCCTGAAAAAAAAAAACAGTATCTATCTATGAAGTCCTCTGTATTAGAAAAAAGCCAGAATCTCTGTCAAAGAATTTGGTAAAAGAATCTGAGTAAGACCTAGGAAATCTTGCTATCCACAAAGAGCAATGCAACATGCAGCATAAAAAACACAAATGTAAGATAAAATATTGCCTGATGAGAGAGGACCAAAGCACAGCATGATACTGATATAGGAGTATTCAGGAAGTGCATTTAGATCTATGCTTCTAATTTCCTAGGCTTCGGCTTGTCCTGCTCAAATAAGTAACCACTCGTACACCCTGCATTAGGACTCATTGTGCTGATATTAACAAATTTGCCTAGATTTGTATTATTTTTACTGTGCCAATACAACCCATTTCATATAACGTCTCCCATCATCAAAACTTCCTGACATTAACAGCTAGATCCTCAGAGCAATTTCCTTGTGTTACTCTAGATGGTTTGACAGAATAGGGATAGCTGGCATCCTGTGTTGAGCATTTAAGAGATGGCATTGTCTAAGGAAAAGAAGATGCTTTTGCAATTGGTATAATTCAGATGATGAAAAAGTCTTTGTTACAAGCTATAGAAATCCCCCAAGGGCAGCACTGCCTGTAGCACTGCTCTGTAGCATTACTTACTGTGGACCTGGATAGACCTGGGCCACAGACCTACCTGTCACTTTATTGATGTCATCAGCCCTGAAAAAAGTGAAGAAAACGCTCCTGTCTTTGCAAAAAAGGACTCTGGTGCACAAGAGGGCTGGACCCACAGAGATGACCTCTCCAAACTGAGGGCCTCATGAACCTAAGGCACAACTGAACTCTGACTTTGGGGAATGCCAACCAAGCTGCTCCAGAACCACTATATCCTGTCAGAGACTCAGATTTGGAGCCTGTAGGAGAAGGAAAACATTAACACTCTCAAAGCTACCTGCATGACATATTACAGGATGTACTACCAAAGTAATATGTTGAAATATATAGCAATTAGGTCTCAGCCACAACCACCAATTATACTGGTGTCTGAAAAGAAAAAAGCTCTGCAAATAGCTGTTTTCAATTGTTCAGTATCTGGATTAAAAAATTAAACCCAAACATTTCACATCAATTCAAAGTAGAAGTTTTGAGAATTTTGGGATGGAGACAAAATAATTCTGAGGGAAAATAATTCTGAACAATCTCGAGTGAGTTATACTCTTTTGGACAATTCTGAGTAACAGAAAGTAAGTCTTTTAACTCACAGAGTGAGGAGTATGTATTTCTCTTTTCAGGACTAGTGCCTACCCACTCACAGAATCCCTTCACTGCATTGTTTGAAGTTCTTGTTATTTGGTTGCTGTAATGGAGCTAAGTTATGGCTGGGTTCATAGAGTTTTAGGGATCTTTTTGGCAAGTAAGATAGCCAGAGTTTATTTGGCTGAATTTGAGACTGAAAAGGTGTCAACACAGTATGCAAACACTTTCCTACTACCTCAAAGACAAGTGTATTTCAACATGATACCTCTGTTCAGCCACACTTGCTAAGTTGACAATATTAGTGAAATAAAAGAGCTTCTGGCTAGCTAAATCACTTACAGTGACCTGAAAACACTGAATCAGATTCTAACCATTGCTGCAGTCTCTGCCTACAAAGGGAACAGCTTTAAGGTCTTTTGAACAGACACCTCTTTTGCTACTCCCTCTGGTTTAGTTCATTACAGAAATTATTCTGCTATTCAGAATTTTATTCTGAATTCAAGGCCAGATGACAGACTTACAGCATATCAGTAATATTCCCACTGAAAGTATCATGCACAACTGCCCTTGAATTAAGGCACTATATGTAATCATCTAGTTTTGGATGCTGAAATGATCTTTCTTGGCCAGATTCCAAAGCCCTTCTGTCAGCATTGAACTGACCCACAACTGCTAATGGTATGTACCCATTTTTTTTTATATAGTTGGTGAAATCAGGTTATCCAGGAACAGAGCTAAATGAATGCTAAAGCTAACATTAGGAGGGCAAACAAATAAATAATGAGAACTAAACATGTTTGTTTTTTTTTCCCTAAGAACTGACAGCAATAAAATCCAGCGTAAAACATAATTTTGTACCTATCACATGACTCTGACATGTAGTCCTTGTCATGGTGTCCTCCTCTTCTTCTTGCAGGTTTTCTGTGACTACTTTAGCCTGTACATAGTACAACAACAAAAGTGAAGAAAATCTGTCTCAGTCATGTTGCTTCAGGATAACTAGAGAATATCTTTTCAGAAATAAACCAGAATAAAGTTACAGGGCACCTAAGAGTGGAAGACTTCATTCTATGAACAGTAGCATGCAGCAGTCAAAAAATACCCTTGGAAGATGTAATTCCTCAAATGGAAAACTCTTTTCTGCAGTTGTTCTGACCTCTTTGCTTCTCTCTAGAAATACCATGTTTCACATTCTAAGCCAAAAAAAAAGTGAACTTAATACATGATACGGTATCTCTGTAGTTCAGTTTGCAAACACAGAACTCTGGCATTTTTGTTTCCACTCCTATTTAAAAGCAGTAATGAGCTAAACAGAGAGAAAAAATTAATTTAAGAATGCAGGGCACACTAAGAGCCTACATGCTTTATTCAAGTATATGTTAATCAAATCCCCTAGATATTCTATTTTTCAGATGAAGGCATATTTTTTGCTGTTCTTCTGCACTATTTCCCAAGTGTATATATAACCTGGGTATCTTCCTAGCATATGGTGAAAACCCCTTCCATTACATGCCATCAGAAACCATAATTCAGATCCAGGGACGCATTTCTCTGCCATGATACATAAACAGGAATGAAGATACTTTCAGGGTGGTGAGAGAAGGAAAGCCAGCACTGCAGAAAAAAAAATATTTTCAGTATCTGTCTCAAAGATTTTAACCTATTTATTAGTCCCTCTGCTGTTTTAAACTACTTACAGCACATCCACAATAACATTAAATATCTTCTGCAATATAACCCAATAGAATTTATCATCATTTGCATGCCGTATCTTTGACCATAGTATATATTCTGCTTGTCTGGCTTACACTAGTAGCCTTACTGACCTCCTGTGACTAGCCTCATGAAAGTAAAACATGAAAGACTTGCTCTTCATCTAAATAAAGTGCATTTATAATCTCCTAATCCCAGAGATTTGATTACATCTTTTTTTCTTCTGAAGTAACGCTCTTCAGGCTATGGAAAATTAAGACAAGAGTATGTGATCATGCAAAGAATGGGCAGAACAATTTCTCACATTTGCAGACTGCATGGCAGTCTGTGGCTTACTGCTGATGTGACATTTCACAGTATTAGGATAGATCTCTGGGTATTCCCCAAACACACAGACTGCAGACAGACAGTGCTACACAAAGCTCCTGGTGTCTCGATTTTGGTGCCACACTTCCACCTCACAAAGTAAAGCCCGTGGCTTTTCTAAATTACACTGGGTTGTAATAAAATCACATAGATGAAATGAAGCAGTGCAGCACAAAAATGATTGTATCTCACCTTAAGCTCCAGCCAAGGACATGAAAAAGTATTGGAGAATGTGGAATATCCTTGGTGTGAGCTAAAGGATTATGTATTTCTGTTGGCTGGCCTTTAGAACAAAGTGCTTTTTTGATGAACACTAACGGGAAGCGTATCCCTCTGAAGGTGAAAGCACAAGGCCGCCATTGGTGGAACATTGCTTTTTCCATAAATTTAGTGGCAGTCAAGCAATAACATTGCTTGCATGAACAGAATCAGATGTAATTGGTGCATATGTTACAGTGTAACAGGGCCCCAAGTCTTTACCTGGCACATCATAAGGGAAGAGATTTAACCATCAAAAATTAAATAGGCTTGAAAGGAAAAACTTGCTAGGAAATTAATGTTAAAAAATGTTATGGCCAGGATTTAAAGAAGCAGTATATAAATACAGCAGCTTCGACGCTAAACCTGTATGGTTGAATGCACTTTGCATTGTTCAAAAAAAGAAATCTTCATAGTTTAGGGCTTTTCAAAAGATTTATGCTGTTTTCTCTGAAAGAATTTGTTTTGTCTTTTTTACAAGCAAAAAAATGCACAACAGGCCATTCTACTGCATGTGACTTTTCAGTCACAGCTGTCTCACAGTCCTTTGAAATCTGCTTCAAAGTAAGCAGACACCAAAGAATAACTGGAAATTATAGTAATAAGATGCATGAACTCTGAATTTAAAAACTTTGCATTGTTTTTCTTGCAGAAGTTTGGAGCATAAGATGAAATATTACATACTGTGGAATCTTAAGGTATATCTCTTTCACAGGTTAGCATTAAGAACCGTAAGCATGGTTTTAGTACTGTTATTCTAAATGTCCCCAGTCTTTTGGCACTAGGTATTTCTTTCAGGAATTAAGTGACACAAAAAAACATAATATGAAACTCGAAAAGATGAAGCATATTATGTAACTTCATCTTAAAAAAGAATACAAAAAATACTTTGATTTCCCATGAATAAGGGAGTGTATTGTATATGACAGGTAATGCCTTTTCCCTGTAACTAACATGCCCTTAATAATGAAATAGTATAATTAGCAGTTCTCCATTATTTTTGTATATTAAGAACAATCTTTGCAGTTACCTGATAAAACAAAGCATGTTTCTTGAACATATACTTAGAGTTTTAAATGACTATTATTGCTATGTTTAGAGAGACTTCACAAAATGACAGACAAAAAGCACAGCAAATTATTCCAGCATTAGAAGATAATGAGTCAGAAAGAAACTGTAGAAGCAGTGTGCAGAGTTTTTTTTTGTATTTCTGTACAGTGAAGATATACCCTAAGCTGTCAGGACCATATTAAATGGGGCATAGTTAAAACTGAGTGGCTCTGATAAGGGGCTCTGCTTTGCTATCAAAGTTCTAGATCAGTTGGATTGAATTTCCTGCATATTGCACATTTCCAGACTTTCACTCTCTCTGTTTCCTTTCAGTGACACTACAAGGACAGCCTTAGATATGCTTATAATTTGTGGCTTTATAATGCAGGAGACATCTACATTTTGAAAGAAGAGATGATACCACAGGAGTCAGGAGGAAAAAGTTTTCAAACATATTCATTCTGCATATATTCACTGTTAAGTTTTAAAAATGACCTTGCAGATGTTCTTAGAAAAGACATCAGCATTAAACACTTGCCTGAAGTTGAAACTATGCATGGGATATTTTAACCTTAAGCATCTTAAACATCAGTACTAAGCTAAGAGTTTTTCCAGTTCCCATAATGAAGCTTTTTGAAATTTGTTTTACCCTTAAAACACATCCCAAAGAATTTGTGTTTCAAATTCTCTCAGATGAAATAGTTGCATGTTCTGTAGTTCAGTAACTAGGTTTTATCAGAACAACAAAAGTGACAGCCTTAACTTCATGATCAGTATTGCATTTGGCACAGGTTTTCAGTCTTTTTGGTGGAAATTGTGATTATTGTTAATAATCATCGTAAGAATGTGGTCAGGACAGCTATCAGGAATGAGAAAATAATGCTCATCAAGTTAAAGCATCTCTGTTTTCCTGGTGCTTGGACTTTAAAACATCATGGGAAAGGCCCCTTCTGGGCAAGAAATTGCTTACTAAATTCTATGTTAATAGAAGCTTCACAAGGAAGTGCACCCATTCAGTCTGACTTTGGGTCCTTGACTGCATGTATACTTCTCCATGCAGAAAAGTTAGCCACTCACAAAACCTTTCAAGAAGCAGAATCTAGTAGCTAGCAAAAAAAAAAATTTGTTTTTCTTCTAAATTGCATCATCCCTACTTTCTGGGTAACTTGGTGTATGAGATATACTTAGTACCTTACTGAAGCATAAAACTAACTACAGGGCATTAAATGTAGATTTTCCATGGTACAGAGACATGGGTCAAAAGTATGGTTTTGCTTTTGAAAGACTCTCTCTTAAGTGACAAATATTCTCAAACATGGTCAAATACTTTGCCCCTTTTGCATCAGCAGCGCGCTTTTTAGGTGAAACAATTTCTATAAATGTTCAGAGGAATGTTAACACTGGCATGCAGTTTTCAGGGAAAAAATGGACAAAAAAAAAGGTCCTATTATTTCACTACTAGAGTATGATTATAGCACTACTGTGCATGTAACTCCATTGGAATTGAATTGCCAGCAGAAGCAGTAGGATCTTCATGACTAGCCGTATAACTGGCCTGTATTTAAACTGCCAACTTTAGTATTAATTCACAATTCTCTAGCTACACAAAATCCTTCTATCATATATAAACAGCTATTGTCCTGTTTGTCTGTACTGACAGGCAGGAGCACCTCCAGAAGTTAAAAAAGAACATAATAATGTTTTCGTATACCAAAGCACTTACCAGGGTCTGATTCTGCATTTCCATATCAGCTTTTGTGTTGCTGTTTTTCTTGTGGTTTCCTTGAGAGCTAATAGAGTTGCTGTGAAGAGAGGAGCCCTGGGAGCTGCCCTTCGACACACTCCTGTAGGAAACATTATTTGATCCACTTTCTGTCTGCTGAGCTGCTTTCTTATCAACTCTGCAGGTAGAGAACGATTCCTCTGATAAATTACATTGCCCTTCTTCAATCGCTCTACTTTCCCATTCCTTTAATGTTTGAAGTAACCTCTCTGTATCTTTCTGTCTCTAAACCTTTGAGTGATAAATGTTTCTAAGTAGCCTTGATCAAACCTGTCACTTACAATTTCAGGTAGTATATCAATTTAGCCTTTCACATATAATGATTTATATTATATTTGGGACTGCTGTGGGCAAACTTGAAAACACAATATAGCAATTGTTAAGTTCCGTGAATGAAGGTTGTGGTAGCTAGAAATGCAATTAATTCTGACTAGTTACCAAATATATGTCTGCTGGTTACAATACATGAAGATGGAATACATTAAAACATGTACCTAAATATTCCCAATCTTTACACACCATCTGCTAAGATTCTCGATTTCTGGAATTATTTGAATTTCTATCAACTTGGATGTAACTTGTCATTTTTTAATTTCAAAGACCACTGGTTTGGTTAACAAAGTAACATGAACAAAATTATCACCTCACTATTAATGTTTTGGGGGTCTTTTTTGTGCAGAGATTCACATCCTGATTGTCTACCTACTAATTACTACTATGCATTCTTAGCCTATGAGAAACACATTGAACTTGGCATTTGATCAGTTGTAAAGGTACAGTGTACAACAACACATCCCAAACCGTGTTCCAGAGTTTTACCTGTTTAAAAGCTCTTTCATAAAAATGTCTTTTGGTGAGAACGCAGATGTGCTGGAACCTTTGCCTTGCTCACACTCAAACTCACCAGGAGTGTCTTGCAAAGGTTTCAGAATTTTGCTCTCCATGGCATCAGCTAAAATATCACCATTGTCTGCTTTCCTGTTAATTTCATTTTCTGTTTCACAGTGCTGTTCAGCTTTCTTTTTTTCTTTTTTTCTATCCAATTTTGCCTGCTTAATTCCAAATCCTGAAATTCTTGCATCTTTTTTTTCTACCTTTGTTTTAGGATCATCAGTCTTCCGGCTACTCAGTGCTGGGAGCTTACTCTTTCGAAAGCCAAACCAACTAGCTATAGAGGGCCCAGTCCTTTGTTTAGTCTCTGTTGTGGGAGATTTAGCTTGTCCCTGACCCTTTTGCACATTTTCTTGGATGCATAGCATGACTTTTTCCTCTATTGTAGGTTGCAGAGCTGCAGAACTCAAAATATTGGCACCCTTCTCAGAGGCTTCTGCCAACTGTAAACACATTTGCTGTTTTCGTGACTTTGTTGCTTCCAGTTTCTGAGAACACTTTATTCCATCTGAGCTTTGAAATGATGAAGATTGTTTGGAAGATAGAGAAACTGATGCTTCTAGTTCTAGTTCCAGTTCTGCTGGTAGAACACTTTTTTTACTATGAGCTTCATGTTGAAAACTTTCAGTGCTTTTCTCACTCTGGACAGACAGGCTGCGTGCATCTTTCTGAGAAAATGGTTTGTTTCCATTGCATTTTGAAGTGCTGTGAAACAGGTCTTGTTTTGGAGATGATCTGAAGGGCAGTTTGCTTGGGCTTCCATGCTGGCTATTGCAACTAGTTGCATTTCCAAGAGAGCCTTGTCTGGAATAGGAATTTTCTGTGGTTTTAGGAGTATATGAAAGAGTCACTGGTGTCACTGCTGACCCAGGAATGGGCTTGATTTGAAGTCCTTCTATGGATGAGTTCTGCCTTGTTAGAGAATTTCCTCTATCAGAAGTGTTTGTAATAATCTGAGTCCGTACTTTTCCGAGACCTTCTGTTGCAGGGGCAGAAGGCTTTTCCCCTGTATGAATGCTGAAACTCTGACTGCGAGCTTTAGCTCCATTCATGCCCAGAGCTGGCTTCAAGTGTGACTTGTTACTAGAAGAAACAGATCTCTTAACTGATTTGTTTTCTAATCCATCTACTCTGTCTACCACCAAGTTGGAGTTTTCATGTGAATGAGGTGATGCTGCATCCATACCAAGTCCCACACTAAAACTGTGTTTTACTTCAGTACCAGACTTGGAGTCTTTTAATTCAGCATCCGTTGTACTTCCACTGGTTACACATATAGATTCATTTTGCTTGTACTTACTTGAACTCACATTACTTTTGGAAGCTGCATTTATACTGTCTTTTTCCTGTTTCCCTGGTACAGTAGAACTCTTGCGAAGTTGGGGGGATTTGACAAATAACTTCAGTCCTACAGGGAGACGGGTTTTCATTCCTTTCTCATTCGAGTTTTGGGAAGCATGTGCAGTTTCACTACCATGAAACAGTGTTGACAATGGGGAATTGTCTACCTGAGATAGTAAAGGCTCACTTGTGCTTGTGGCATGACATTGAGGAGTTGCAGGGAGAATGTTTGGCACCTTTTGTGTCTGATCTACCCCACTGTCACAGGAAATACCTTTTTTTCTGGAATATGTGTCTTGTGAAGAAGTTGTTTCCAATGATGGAAAACCTAGAGAAAAGGACTTGGCTGTTTGAAAATCTGTGTTAGGAAATTCACGATTCCTGTGGAAACCCAGCTGATTAGGGCTTTTTGGGCAGACTTGCTTTGTGGAAACATTGGGAAGCTCTTGGCATGCACTATGGGGTTGCTGAGATACGCTCTTATTTTGCATAATTGCTTCTGCATTTTCTTGAAGGGAAGATAATTCAATTTTGGCCCCAGAAGTTGCATTTTCTCTTTGCAATTCATGACTAGATTGATTATGAAAGCCAGAGTTCACAGTTCCTTTTGATGGTGATGATTTCAGTATATTTTTTGCTGTTTCACTGGCACCAGCTCCTCCTAATTTTACCACTACAGGTGGTGAATGAGCATGATCAGGCTGAATCAACAAGGATGTTGACCTGCCTGGAGGAAGGGGTGGGGATGGTGATCGAGTTTCTACAGTTGCTAAATCACAATGGAAGTCTCTGGTTGGAGGTTCTCCATAGTCAGTGGGCTCTATAAGGTGCTGAGGCAACAGTGGTGATGCTGGATTCTGACTCTTTGGATACTTTGAACAGTCACTTCTGCCGGGATGTTTCAAGCTAGGCAGAGGGTGGATAGGGGTCTTTGGAACCTGAAAGTCAACCTTTGAGTCAAAATGATGTGGTGGACTTTGTGCCTTTTTAAATCTTGAAAGCTTTACAGGTGGCAGAGCAGGTGATATTTCAAGGGCTGCAGGGCCTACTGCTTCAGCTACAGGTTTGTCCCCATTCTCTGTCATCGCAGCTTTTTGTGGAGAAAATTTACCTCTGCTTGGTATTTTAGTCAAGTTTGGCTTTTGATTGATTCCTGAATGCACCGTGGAGCTTGAATTGCCCTTGTATGTTGCATCATACACTGGCTTTGCTAGTTTTTGTCGTGGAGTATTTTGTGGCATCATTCTTCCACAGTGTGAAGATTCACTGCAGGTCATGGTGACAACTGTGTTTTTATTCCCTGTATTATCTTCAAGAGTCTTTTTCTCAGTTTCATCTTCAGGTCTTTCTAAAGAAGTGTAGTTTCTAGCATTGGTTCCTGTCTGCAAACCAGTTATTCCCTGAGGTATAAATTCAGTATCTTCTGCACTGGATATAGTTCGTGGCTGGTTGATTGAAATTTCATTTCTTGTTACAGTGACAACTCCAGTTTGATGTGAGCTGAATTCAATAGGCTCACCATCCTCAGCATCAAATATTACTGTAATGCACTCTTCAGAAGAGGTCTTTTTTATAACCTTTTGTTGTTTAATGAAATTACATGTCTTTGGCCTAATGTCTGAGGGAGCAGATATCTTTTTTTCCTCTTTGTCAGTAGATACAAACTGAGAATTCTCCGTGTCTTTGAGCATGTCAGAGGTCTTCATGTACTTCTCAGTAAAAGGAGTTGCTAATAAATCTGATGGACTTTTCTCATCACTGCTTTCTATATGCAATTCATCCAAGACTTCATTGTCATCAGTATCTGAAAGCTGAAAATTAAGGTCCTTCCAGCCTATATTAGCATGGCTTTGATATAACTGTAACTCAGGCAGCTTTGCTCTGGTGCATGATTTTACTTCTGCCTGAAATCCACTGACAAAACTAGTCAATTTTTCAGGTCTTTCCTTTGAATTAAAATATGAACTTCTTTCTGGCAAGTGTTTCCTATTAGGATCCCAGTCAAAGAGACTGTCAGAAATGCTGTGAGTTAATTTGTTACAATAGGTCCTGCAGTCTTTGCTTGGTACTTCCTGCAGCAACAGTAAGGATGAAGAATCGTCATCTGCATCATCATGTGAATCTGAATCATAAGAGAATGTTTTGTTATGTTCAATGCAAATACTTCCTATTTCTGTTGGCTTACAATAAGTCTGTTCACTATGGCCGCCACATTTAACTCCAGGGGAATATATTCCTTCATTAGAGTTCATGCAGTCTTTGTAACCCCATTTTGATATTACTGAAGGTGATTCAAGTAGTATTTTTTTCTTCTGTAATTTCTTCAGCCCTTCTAAGATATGGTTTTCCTTGATACGAGTTGGAGGTAGATCATCTGCAGGACTTGAGAGGTTGCTTGGGAGCGAAGAGCCAACACTTACTCTTTTATCCCAGCTCACAGATGACTGTTGAAACAAAATAAAATTCACATATTACTCACATGTGCTGTTAATAAAAAGTGTTACCATTTTAGAAAACAGATATAGGAGTTGCATAGGGTATTACATTTCCTCCATTGCTATTAATAACAATTTTTCTTTTTAATAAAGGATTTCACAGTGGTGTGAAGGCTACAGCACATTTAAAACCTGTAGGAAGAACAATATGAATGGAAGGATTAAGATAAAGAAGAAGAGCAATTTGGACTGTGAAAGACAGAATAAATGCCAGAATAAATGAAGAAGCTGTGCGCAAACTGGAGTGATAAAGGAACTGTTAAAGAAGAATTAAAAGGGGGAGAGTGAAAGGGAGGGAGACATTTGGGACAGAATCCTTACTGATTTCAGTGACAACTGTTTTAAATATAAAAGAGAGAGGAAAATGAAAAGAAATCTCTGAAATACGCAGCTTTTCAATTTATCTTGTTTCAGATTAATTTACGCTAATAAATGAAGAAAATTAATTTGATTTACCCTTTTGCTGCATGTCTTTCCATCATTCCACGTGTAGGAAGAACTGCTGGAATATTCACTGCAAGCACTTGAGAGGGAGAGTTCACTGCTACTGCAGCTGCTCCGGGGATACAGGCGGCTAGGACCTGTCATATTTAATTGACTCTGGCATTTCAAAACGGGTATACTGGATTTCACATTCTGCTGGCGTTCCTAAAATATGAGAAGAAATAGAAATATCTTACGGGTGGAAAAAGATCATTTAACTTCCTCTTGATTAAGAAGGACAAAGAAAAAGCAAGTAAGCTACTTATGCATTCCTGTTATGCCATTAGCATCTGGTGAATTTAATACCGAGAACTAAATTACAAATTGCTAAAATTTGTCAGGGCAAAAATCCACAATCCTCCATATTTTCTTCTTTATTCTCAAACCAATATTCTGCTATTCTTTTGCTAACGATTATTCTATTTGAATTATGCTTTGTATATAAGCAGTGTGCCAGAGTAAGATACAGAAAACAAAGTTATAAGAATACAAGTACATCTTGACAACTGCATTATAGCCCTACAATGTAACTGATGAGGCTGTGCACCCCGGACAAGGTAAATTAATTTAGTATCCCAGCCAGAATGTCCACTGAGAATGGAATCTCTCCATTACAGTCTAATTTTGGTTTCCTATCTAGTTCAAAGCTTTGTCTAAGAAACTCTCTGACGTAGGACAATCCATCTTTGTGTCGCTTGCAGACAGCTGAAGCCTCTTGCTTATGCAATTTATTGACACTTTATGGCTGCCTTTAGTACTTGTGTAGTTATCGCCCTTCTCCAAATGCAATTTCAGCTGACTGTGACTAAGTGCCAGCTTTGAGGAAGAGAGTAATGAAGAGCAGATAGCACTTTAGGTAAAATATTAAACCTCTGTAGGAGTATCTAGGATGCCTTTAATTTGTTTTCAAACTAATACTCTTGTGCCTAACAGTGTTAGAGCTTCTTTAATGTTAAGTGCCTGCACCATTCTATTATGCTATTCTCCAGCTCCCTTACAGAGTCAGACATCTTTTTAATTACCAGGAACACCAGACAGAATGACATGGCTACCTGAAAGCAGGTTGTAGTGAGGTAGGGGTTGGTCTCTTCTCCCAAATATCAAGCAATAGGATGAGAAGAAACAGCCTCAAGTTTTTCCAGGGGATGTTTACATTGGGTGTTAGGAAAAGTTTCTTCACTGAAAGGATTGTCAAGCATTGGAACAGGCTGCCCAGGGAAGTGGTGGAGTCACCATCCCTGGAAGTATTTAAAAAATGTATACAGGTGGCACTTAGTGATACGGTTTAGTGGTGGACATGGCAGTATTAGGTTAATAGTTGGATGCGATGATTTTAAGGTTTTTTTCCAACCTAAATGATTCTATGATTCTATATGACTCTGTTTCATAAAACTTTGCTTCAGATTTCATTAAAGCAAGCTAAAAATATTTATTGATTTTGCATGTAGATATACCCCAAACTAATTTTGCTTAAAAATTTTAACTTTATATTCAAGAAGATACATGAAATATGAAGTTACTGAATCCACAAAACAATTATTGAAACCGTATATGCACTAGACACAGCTTCTTCATGCTAATCTCCAAAAAAATGCTGTTTGTAGGCGCTTCTCATACACTAGCATGTTTGTTGCCCTTCTGCTAATTTCTTCCATTTATTCTCCCATGTCCTCCCATTTATTACTACAAGGGTTGAACCTTTTTTCAGTTAAATGGGAGAGCAGAATTTTTACTGCTGAGGAGTTCATCAGTACAGCTGCTCATTGCTCAACTGACATAATAATGTTCTGGTTTTGACAAACGTAACTACAGGGCAAACCATTATTCTCTGTCACAGGCAAAACCTATGAATGGAAAAATCATTTAGAGGTAGCAAGAGAACATTTCACCTCTGGGAATTATTGCTACATGTCCTCCTATGAAGTCAAAGGAGTAGCCTTTAAATCTACGGATCTGGGAAGAATACATCTTTCAGTGTGAGGCAGGCTGATGTCTGTGTTTTGGGCTCTGAAACAGACTTTCTTGCCTTGTTGAGACAAATTACTCTTTATTTATGACATCGTGGTTCACATGGGAGTCCCTCTCTTATCAGCTTCCCCAGCTATGACAGTGTCATTCCCTGTAAGGTTGACTATAGAGAGGCCATTCGCAGCATCTGCTTCTTTTGGCTGTTTTGTTGCCTTTCAGCTATGGCACTCAGAAAACATGTCATGTCAAATTTTTGCCCTTTATACTCGGCTATGTCCCAGTCATCACAGTGTATAAGGGAAGGATGCCTGTAAAACCATTTCCTATGAGAGTCTCATGTCAGAGGAAAGAGATCACAGTGTACTGACAAATACTGCCTTCCCCTCCTGTCATCTTCAGCTAGTCTGAGAGCCTTTCCATCCCCTCACTGTTTCCTTTTCACCTAAAGAGAGGAGAAAGGCCTTTGGTACTACAGTTTTAGCAGTGGGAAAAATGGAGATATCCAAGGAAAGCGAATGAACAGTGTATTAGTGTAATCCTCTGTATTGTTTAAGAAAGGAGAAGATGTGCAAAAATATTGCACCATTACATATGCTGAAGTAGGATATCCACCCAATTTCTACACTGTATTCAGATCACTGAGGGTGGAATTTTCCCATGCAGTTTGCTTTTATTCTTGTAATTATCTGAGAAAGTACTTCGAATAATATGTTTATGATGCATTCATTAAATATATTTAACTAGCTTACATGTCTATAACTGTCACGGTGAAATTTTAATTTTGTAATTAAGACTCTTAAGTCATTACCTTCAATGAAATTAAAAAGGCCTGAAAGTAGTATTACAATTTAAACACACCATTTTCACTAGAAATCACAGAAAATGGAATCAGACTGTTAGACAAAAAAATGTTAGAAAAAACTAACCTGAAGGCTTAATTACATATCAAGCAAAGGTGCTTCGCATTTTTGTGAACCTCTGAAACAATGTGTTTTCATTAAAGTATGTATTACAAGGGAGATTACATTTTTGTTGACACTACTATACTTCAAAGTCATACACAGGTTCAATGCTCCGTTCTTGTCTTCCTTCCCTCTATGTGACTTTTGTTTTTTAAGCTACTTTTCTCTTTGACAATGAAACATGAAAGCCACACTGGCTAACGTTTTGCCAAATAAGCACAAAGCTAACTCCATCTGAAAAAAAAAATGCAGAGCCCATGAATTTTTAAAAGTTCATACATAATATATCATAAAAGTGGGATGAATAATACGGTGTATGGGCTTTAATAAAAAGCTCCTTGACCATTTCTCAGAGATCTGAGATGTAATCAATACCCAAAAAGGTATACTGGGGACATTGCTAAGATTTACGCTTTTTTTTGCACAGTGACACTATCTGCTTACTATATCAACTGAGGACACAATATTAAATTTCAGAGAACAGAAGAAAGAAGTATTGTTATCTGCCTCAACAGTGTTTCAATTCAGAGCTCTGCTTTATGGCTCATCCCTGGCATCAGACTTCAGAAGCAAAAAGCAGGGTCCCAAATAAGGGGTACAAGGACAGCACAAAAACTCACATGAATTTGAGCATCAGCAGTTCGAGACTGCATCAGGCTTCTGTTTCGTTCTACTTCTGAAAGCAAATCCCCAGATGAGAGGTCTAAGATGCGTGAATGGAGTTTCTGGGGGAGCAGAAGGGAATGAGAAAAAAATAAGCATTTGTCAAATATGCAGCAGATCAGCATTTCTAAAATTCCAAACTCTGCTGTTAAATTTCAAGGGAAAAGAAGACCCCAAGGTAAAAGAGTATTTCTTCTAATTTGAAACATTGCTCTTTGTGCTTACTTTGTCCAAGACTTCCTGTCTGCAAAACAGATCATTCTTTATCCAAAAGAAACTCTACTTCTTCTAGTCACTGTTTTGCAACTTATCATTACTTCACATGCAACAATGACAAATGAACGCAAGACCCACCATTATCTATAGAGTTTGACAGGTTTCAGGAAAAAAGGCATAAAAATGAACTACAAAATTAACATTTATAAATCAATCAAAATGTTAATGTTATTTTAATTTTGAACTGTTACACCTTCAGTGAATGATTGCAGAAGTGACCCCATTTTTAAACAGCATTGATCTGCTGAAGGCCTCCTTTGCACACATTTTAACTCAAAGTCATTACTGTCATCTGTTAGGAACAATTAATGTGAATAGAAAATAATTGCATTGGGGAACTAGGGGACTCAGAGGAATTTGTGCATTAATATTCACATGCTGTTCGATTATAAACACAGTTCTTTTTTTCGGTTTTGCTTGGAACGATGGAAAGCTGTGCCTTTTCCTCCACGTTCACCTGTATACTAATTACAAAGGCTTTCAGTGTGCATTAAGCCTGATTTGCTTTAATTGCAGTTTCAATAAAATCCATGGTTTATGTGAATGCCTTGGCCAATGACTTCAAAAGAATAAGCATCTGCAGCCCTGTCAGTCATTGGACCAACGTATCATGTAACAGGCAGCATGGATCTGACTCACAGCCCACTGAAATCAATAAAAAAGGACTTAAAAAACCCAACCAAACAAAAGGACTTTGGATCAGGCTCTTTTCATTTCCCCAGTAATTCTCCAGGCTTGCAACATGAGAGACTAAATCTACACCCTCCACAGCACCAGGACACTCAATTTGGAGGAACAAATGGAGCAGTCCTGGCCAGGGTGCTTTTCTAGGGGGACCCTGTGAAGGATGCAAACCATGGAGACTTGTCGAGGCTGCGTGAGCAGTCCATCACCCTGCACATCCAAAAGCCCTCATCAAAGAAGGAAAAGAAACTTTAGCACAAAAGCCCTTCCATGCTGTGCAGTAGCAGTAACAAGAAGACACTTCTTTGCAGAGCCCCAAAGCATCAGTCACACACAATCTTATGCCCAGCTAATCCCCAGCCTGCTCTCTTGGTACCCACTGCAGAAATTTGCCTGCTAGAGAACAAAGCAGGCACCATTCCTACAGCCTCTGTTATCTGCATGCTGCGCTTCATGCATCTATTTCAGGAAAACTAGCTTTTTTTTTTCTTCTTTTCTTTCTTTTTTTTTTTTTTTTTTAAATTTGGGAGCAGTTTCTCAATATTTCCATATTCATTCAGGAGGTACTAGCTGTTGCAGACAGATTATGGAAAATATTTTCAATGATCAATATCCTGTATAAACATATTTTGTCCAATATATTCTTGAATAGATTGAAATGCTACAAGCATTCAGTATCCAAGATACTTTTCATTATACTATTTACTATATCCAGGCCCTGTGTTTTATAACATCAGTGATGTCTATCCCTTAGTTATTCAGTGTGCACCTTTTAAAGTGTTATTACTCGAGTTACTGTCAGGTATTTGTTCAAGATTAAAGCTCCAGGTAAAATGCCTTCCCAAACTCACAGATTTACTGACTTAGTACACGTGTTATTCTTGACAATAATTCCAACTGCATCATTGAACCACCAGAAAATTGCACTGTTTTCAGTATCAGGACTCACCGATGTTCTGAACAAGTGGTGTACTTGCTGTTTGCAAAGGAATTAACTACTTTCTCCAGTGAAACCAGTCACCTGATTTTTGCTTCCAGAGATATTTTAGCAGAAGTTACTATAGCCCAATCTGAGCATTAGAGATGATGACTGCAGACATATGCAATGGATGAACATTTATACTTCAACATTTATTTTCCCAGAAAAAAAGTGTTCTAGAAATATTGGCATAGGAATTTTAGAGCTGTGAAACTGTCTTCTCATTTTTTCGGCAAGGCATTTTAAATACTTCATTACTTAAATGGGAACATATATGCATCTCAATAAGGGAAATTAAATATACCCCTACAGCATCATCCAATGGAATTTAGCATGTTGCTGTTATTGCCCGTATCAGACATAAGAGCAGAGATCAGCTCAACTGGAACAGGCAGAAAACAAACAATTTTTTGGCCAGTGATAAGATGTTGCCTAGCAAAGTGGGCTGTAAATGGCTCAGAATTCTGGGGGTCCCCCCACACTGGCTCAGTGACCAAAAGAGATGGGATGCACGTGGGCCATCCTGTTTTCAAATCACAACCAGTGTTAAATTCTATGACTCTATAAAACTGTCATAACAAAGGTGAATCAGCAGAATAAAATGATTAACAAAGAAGGAAAATACATGCTCAAGATGTATAATGTGATTACATTTCTGTATCAAACAACAGATGATCACATTGGGAATATTTCCACACACACATATGCAAATAAACTAACAGACACACAGCCAGCACAATGACTAGCATTAACAAACAGCATAAGAAAGTTTGAGATCATTAATTAAATATAGTCACACAGCACTGAAGCAAGTCATCCGATTACAAAAGAAAAATGATAAGAAAATTGTTTTTCTTTCATTTATGTTTTTCTTTCCCCCACTCCATTTTCTAATTAAAAAAAAATGGGAAAAAACTATTTGTTAAAAACCTCATTAATGATCCATTTAAAATGAAGTAACAGATTGTGCTAACTATGCATCTTGTTTCTGATTTCTTCTCAGATACGCAAAATGTACTTTGTCCTTTATGGTTATTTTCAGATGACAGTCACATGACTAGATCAAGGAGCTTGAAAATTGTACAATATTAAAATCACTGTTGATGCTATTATGATGCAATGCAATGAAAGGAGAACAGCACAGAATGACGACTTCCACAGAAAACATCATATCAATTTAAATGAATACTTATATATAAAACTGAGGAGTTACAACTATAAATCCAAGCCATCTGCCCCATTTTTTGGTGCCCTATATAACAATAGGAAACTGAGAAGTATTTGTACCTGGTGGGGAATGTCTGCGCCTCTCTGAACAGAGGAAGCACTGGGCTGCACAACAAAAACCATTATGGAAGTTAATACAGCATGCCCAAACCAACTTAAGTGGAAATTAGCTTGTACTGAGTACTGCCAGGGCAGGCATGAACTAAAACATTCTTAGCATGTTAGCTAGACTAGACCCATGCCTCTACAGAAAGTGGGTGCTGAGAGGTACAGAAGCCCAGGCAGAGCAGGCCTCTTCGGCTGCTGGTCACAGCAGCAAAAAGTTCCTCCTTCACCTGTGACACTGATGCAGAAAAAGCCGTGCCTTTTATGGCTCAATGTCAAGATTAACTCCTGAAATCCACATAAAAAATAAAACCAAAGTAACTGATAATTTAGGTGGAAAACTATTATATCAAGTGCAATAGGAAATACAATTATCTGGCAGGCAGATTACCAATCCATTAAATAGTAGGTCAGTTCCCCTTCCCCCAGAGGCATCCTTATTAAGGCTTTCTAGGAAGATAAAAGAAGGTTACTACCTGCTGGCATGAGGCAATATTACAGAGAGACTCCCCTAACTATTCTGCCTCTTGACTGTATCTGTGCAGAATATCTATCAGTTCCCATCTCCTTTTTGAAACATCTAATGGACTACAGCATTGCAGGAACAATTTTCAATGAATTATGCCCAACTGTAACGGCTCTCCAATATTGGATGAGTTAATTGCTATTAAATCAATTGGCTTTGCTTTTCTCACATGAACCAAAGTCCATCATTCACAAAGAAGAAATCCTCTCTCAATTCTAAGGAGACACTTTAATCGTAGTGCTCTGTGCCAGAGCTGTAAATGTTTGTTTGTTGCATGTGACCTCCTCCCATCTTTGCTGTTATCTCAGCATCACACACCTGTACAGACTGCTCTCCTACATGACCTGACCACTGTAATTGGACTGCCAGGGAATATTTTTTTCTGCAGCCTTCACACCACTCGTTTTTAATAATTCTCTGCACAAAGAAGATTCCCCTAAAGTCCACAACAACAGCAACACCACTGCTCCAATTCCACCCTTGCGGTACCAAATGAGTTACATCTTAGTAATTCCACCAAAACCATGTAAAATAATGTGCCACACAAGAAGAGTGCTGATATGGTCATCTCTTTACAGGTGTGACAGAGGCTCATGATAGAAAAAAGCTCTTTCTAGCTGACATTTTTTCCCCAATCATCTGATCTGTCTCACTTTCCTGTTCCCTTGTTCATCTTTAACTCTTGTATCTATCAGAAGCAGACTGCAGCTATGAATTAATCACATCTATGATGAGCTTTAGTTTCAAAGGTCTTACAGAAATAGTACTCTGCGCTATGTTTCCATTACATCATGGAAGACAGCAGACTAAAAAAGAAAAAAATATTATTAGGTATGCTATTTACGTAGTATTAGTTTATACAGAAATACAATCTTTCATGAAACTAAATCTTGATTTTTTTTTGTCCTTAGATACATTGCAGAGGGATGTTTAGCGGGAGGTGACAGAACATCCTTCACTTATTCCATCAGAACTTACCTAGATCAAGAACATGCACTGCTCGAAGTATGAAATGAGGACTTTTTATACACTAAATACTCTGAAATAAGGAGAAAGTTAAATATTTTTAAGAAAAAAAAGATTTTTGCATTTCTGCACAGTAGTAAACAGTTAATGTGATTTTTTTGGGTGCCAGTTCTGGGAATAGAATATGGCCTTACAGGCTTCATAGTAACATCATATAGGTCTATGTCTCTACATTTTCACAAGTGTGTTAAAAATAGACCAAGCTTTAAAGGATAAGGAAATAAGAAAACAACTGTCAG